GATATCGCAAGAGCTGCCTTGATTAATCAGGATGCGTTTCACTTGGCACTCCCCAACCTGGAGGGATACTACCAAGGTATCATTATGTGGATGCTGGACCATCTGTAGGTCGGCTTCTGTAAAGGCTATCGCCGGTCCCTGGCATTCTTCAGGCCGAGGTCTTTTATGTCCGACCTGGTTCACGTGCTGTAGGTGTTTTACCTTTTGGGTCTCCCCTCGTATGTCGTTTTCGTTCACTTTTGAGTGAATTACATTAACCACCTGTGGTCCTCTTGCCTGTGGTTGCTGTGCTGGGGGAGGAGGAGCTGCTGGTGCTTGAGGCAATCTTGCCTGTTCTTCCCTTGTTCTGGCCTCATCGACAAGGTCCCTCAGATGGCCTTGCCTCACCAAGTCTTCTAAGTGTGCTTTTAGGGCTTTGCAACCCTGAGTCGGGTGCCCTTCTTCATTGTGGTAAGTACAATGCTTACCGACGTTTCTTCTCATAAATTCCCCTGGTGTTCTTGTCGGTGCTTTGAAATAGGGTTGGTTTCGTATTTGATCCAGGACTTTGTGGATCGGGACTCGGAATACAGTCGTCACTGCCTGTTTAGCCCTCAATTCCGTTTCTTGTTTGATCGGTCCATTGTTACCTCGACTTCGCTTCGGCGAGCCGTTTCATAAATCTATTTAGGGCTGTGGCCCTTCCAGTTAGCATCTGCACCTGTTTTGCCGACGTCGGGCTCTTCAACTCTAGGATGGCCTTGATTTGATCTGGGCTGGCCTCAATGCCCCTTCTAGTTCCCAAGCCCGGCCCAAGCTTTGTATTTGGTTGCATTCGGGTATTCGATTGAACACCTCGTAGTACCTTTTTGCGTAGGCCCTAAGGCCTTCATCCTTGGTGATTTTTAAAGCCATCAGTGCATCGACCCTCAAGGGCTGTAGTTTGTTCGTCACAAACCTGGCCACAAACATCTCGGTCAGGCCTTCCCAAGTCTTTACGCTTCCCTTCGGTAGTTTATGGAACCAATCTGATGCAATCTCCCCGAAGGATGAGGGGAATACTTTGCAGAGCAACGGCTCGTTCCCACTATATAATGCCATTGAATTCAGGTATAGTCCAACGCGAAAGTTAGGATCTGACTTACCATCATATATATGGAACCTCGACATACTGAATCTCTTTGGTGCTTCAAATTTGTCCAGTTCCACCGAGAATGATGTCTTCGACTTAACCGGGGAAGTTACCTCGGCTTCAGCATTCTGTTGCTTCCTCTTGAGGTAATCTCTCAAGTCTTCTTTACTCCTCCCTGGAGGTCGGCTATCTTTGGACTTTAATCTTTTCGGCACACTACTTTCGGCCTCGTGGTGGGCCCGTTTCGATCTTTTTTCACGGGTTGTGTCAAAGCAGAGCGCCTGCCCTTGAACATGCCGATGTTCTTGGGCTCTGGGTCCTTCGTGTGATACGTCTTTCGGGACTCCTCTCGTCTCGGCTCCTCTCGTCCGACTTCCCTGGAAGGTCGGTGAGAGTGCCTTTCGCTCCTGGTGTGCTGAGGGGCTTCGGGGATTGTTTTCCTTCCTCCATTCTGGGTATTAGTTGCTGGAATCGGCGTGTCGTGTAGCGGGTACGGTGGCTGCATGACATTGTTTTGCATCATGAAGTTGACGACCGACTGCAGGTCTGTCAACTTGTTTGCCAATTCTTTTACTTCTTCATCCCTCCGTAGGCACTTATCCCTCCATACTTGGAGGTTATCTTCGTTATAGTATTTGCTTTGGTCTGTCTTCTTCGAAGTGTTGCCCTCCTGGCCGACGTCTTTCTCTCCGTGGCCCTGGTCACAAGATTCTGCATTGTGGTTGTCTCCTTCGATGTCAAGGTCGATTGGTCTGCCACTCCCAGCAAGAGTGTCGTCCCCAATCCGTTACTGGCCATCTATTCTTCTAATTTCCCACAGACGGCGCCAAATTGTGTGGGTGATTTTCTGACTACACTGCCCGCTTAGTAACCAGCTGGAGAGCACCGGCAGAATAGATGGCACCTGACTGACCTGCAAATAGAAAGAAAAGGCTTCGGCGGTGGTTCTTCCACCTGGGGGCACTTCGACGATCAAGTCAGTATATCTCTCAAAGATAATCAAGTGCTAAACTCACTATTCAAAGCATAAATTTGCGTACCTTAGACCCACGGGGGTGCCTCACTTTTATAGTTTACTTAATCCTAATTCCACTAGAAGCCTTGACTTCTATGGACTCCAATTCAGTACTTACTTTGGACTGTTCAAGAGATAAAGATAAACTCCCTAAGAGCTTTATCCTCATCTTGACTAAGTCTCCTCTTTATTCTAGGACTCTTGTTCCTTATCCGTTTATCTCGGATCCCGATATCTTCGGAGATAACCTCGGCATAATGACCAGGACACGTGGCACCTCGGCTGACACATCGGCGTCACCTTGTCACATATTGGTACTCAGAAATATATCCCCACAATATATATATATATATATAAACTAGAAAAAGCGCAGATAAATTTGACAAAAGACAATGGAATACATCACATGAATTCCAACATAAACGTTAGCACGATAAGTTCTCCAATACAAGTTCTTCTTGAGAAATTTCTCTGGGTTTCTTCATAACTATTGCAGTCTCACTGGACTTTACATTTCCAGCACTTATTGCGTTGAAGTAAAGTAAACATGGGCATGGTTTGACCCTTGCTAAGAAGTTTTTTCCTTGGTTCATGTTGGTATTGGCAATAACAGTTAGCGTTGTTGGGGGTGGGTGGCAATATCTATCAGTATGTTTGGCTTGAGTTTTTTGAATTAAATTTTTTGATAATTGATCTTTTTGTTTTTAGTATTTTTTTTATTTTTACTGAATATTTTTAAAATTTTAAGTATTTTTTTTTTAATTTTTCTAGATGCATCTTACTTAGATATGTCTAAAAGTAAAATATTTGTGAAAAAATATTTTAAAAAATTAATAAATATATTTTTTTACAAAAATTATATTTTTTAAGTGTATTTATGTTAAGTGTGTTTAAAAATTAAAAACATTGCTTAAAATATTTAAAAAATTCAATAAAAATATGAAAAATAAGAAAGTAGAATTTTTTAAAAAATGTTTTTAAAAAATTGAAACCAAGCAAATCTGAATAACCCTCTCCTTTTCAATTGAGTGTTTTCTTCTGTTAGGTTAGGTGTCAATTGGGTGAAAAGTTACAGAATAGTAATGGAAGGCTTTTCAATTCTTATTTTTTTGGGGCTGTCTGGATGGTTCAATGAAGTGAAGATAATCGAGCATCAAGTAGACAACTGACGAGGGAATTCAGAGATGATAAAATAATATTGTGGATCTTTTTTATTATTAAAAATGAGATAGGGACCTTAAATTAATTTTCTCTAAAAAAGATACAAAAGTATATTTTCATATTTTGTGTATTTATTAATTTTTTAAATAAACTTTGATAAATATTTTATTTTTTAAGTATTTTTAGGTGAGGTGCATTTAAAAAGTAAAAAAAATATTTAAAATATTAAAACAATTCACTAAAAATCCTAATAAAAAAATACAAAAAACAAAAAAATTAATTTTTAAAAAATTTGAGGTCAAAAACTGAAACCAAACAAGGGGGGCTGTGTCCAATCATGATCCAAACAAAACCTTAAGATTTTAATTCACAAAATATGTAATTCTTTTTTTAAACAATTCATAAGTTATATAGATGAAAAAAATGATATTAATATATTTTATACTAAAATGCATACTTAATCTCTCTTTATTTATTTATTTTTATCTCTTTACACTATTTGAATCAGTTTCAATTTCTTTAATCTTACTAAGGTAGGTCAAAATAATTATTCTAAAATTGTGAAAGGCAACATGTAATATTTTTTTCAAACTTTTTAAAAATAAAATCTTTGAAAATCTATGTTATTTATTTATTTTTAAAGTTTGTTTAGCCTAGAAAAATTATAAAAAAAGGTAAGAAAAAAATTAATGATTTAAAAAAAAAAATATTTAGAGATTTTTTTTTTCTAATTTTACTTATTTATTTATTTATTACTTTTTAAGTTAGTTTTGTATAGTCTAATATAATGATAAAGTGTAAATTCATTTGAACAATTTTAAATAAAAAAAAAATCAATAAGTCGAAAAAAAAAACTAATGAAAAAGAAATTGCCAAATCACACATTTAACCGGGAGTGAAAATATTTTTCTCACTTTTGTTCCTATTGTAACAGTTGCCTGTGAGGTAAATTGATAAATGCAATACAAATAAAAAATTTAATTTTTAATCTTTGTTTGGAGTGTGCTATGTAAATACATTTTTTATCATTTTATTTTTTTTGAGTCATATCACCTCTTTACTTTTCTATATATTTTTTCGTGTAAAGTTAAAAAATATACTTATTTAGATCATCTCAAATTGATAAAAGTTATTTGAAAAATTTATCCTTCATTTTATAGGATTAGAGGATCAGTGCTCATCGTTAGGGATTCAAACGAGTTGAATTAAATTTTAATAATTTAGTTTATATAAATTCAAATGAAAATTTACTAATCAAAACAATTAAATAAAGATTTAGATATAAATGTAAATAGAAATTAATAAAAATATATTAATAAGTTGGCCAAAATATATCAATCCCACTAAATAATGGAATTTGCAAAATATAATTTTAGTAATTGCAACTAGTTTCATCAACTTATGCCTACAATTTTATTAAATAAAAATATCTTAAATAAACAGAAAAAAATTAATTATCTTGAATCCCAGACCTTAGGCCTTGTAAAAGGGATTCCTTTGTCTCGACTCTCAACCTTCAGAAGCAATACATATCTTGCTTATTCTAAAAATGATTCTATATATAATAGTACCATAAAAACCAAACAGAACCTTTCTCAAACCGAAAATAATTAACTATTGTTTTCTTAGGTCAGCATAGACCTTCAACTGGACAGTTATTGCCTAAATCTAAAATCACAAAAAATAACTTTAAGCATAATTTGCATCTAAGCCTTCAAGAACATATTTTCCATTCCATATCAAAAGAATAGTTCACATTTTGATTCACTGGAACTGTTAACAGGTCAAAAAACTGATTCAATTATAAAATACCACAAAATAATTGCCCTGAGGTAACTTTTCGAACAGTTATAAAACAATTAAAAAAAAATAATTTTAATGTACAGACAACTGTATAATAAACAATGAAAATTGGAGGAAGAGAAAAATTTCCTCAACTAAAACCTTGTATGGACAAACAGAACTTGAATGGATCGACAGAGAGCTTTTTTCCGTGTGATTCAACTAGCTTAGGTTAATTTTATCCAGCGCCAATTCCGTACTGATGAGTCTAAGCAATACCTGAACTAGCTCTCTTACTCTACCTTCCCTGTCCATGGAAAGGCACAAGATATTAAAAAAAATACTAAATCCTACATGAAAAAAGCTATCAGAAATTAGAATACCATCTTATCTCCCTAATTTTTAAAACCATACATTTAGACTCCTCAAGTATTAAAATTGTTTGACTTTCACCCTCTCTAGAAAGGGTTCTTTGTATGTTTTTTTGATAGTTGAGGGGGTCTAAATATGCAGTTTTGAAGTTCAGGGGGTAAAGTGATATTTAGTGATAGTTGAGGAGAGTAAAGGGTAAGTAACCCAAAAAGATATGCTTCGTCACTGTGTGCTATTCGCCAGAAGCATGATATAAGTCAGCAGTTGGAAACAATATCTAGCAAGTTAAAAAAGTCTCTAAACTCTACATGCAATTTCATTTTTTTCCAATCCTATTCTTTATTATCATGCCATTAATTAAGTTGATGGCCTCATCTTCATTACAACTTCGCCAAACCTGATAGAAATATCTGTGTCAAGTTTTTTATCACAAACTTTTGGTCAAATTTTACATTACTTCATTCAAAATAATAAAAAAATAATTTATTTAAGCGAGTGACAAACTTCATATCTGTACAACGTGGTGTTATTCTAAAGGCATAGTGTACTATTGTGAAGCTCCTCTTTCAGGAACCCTTACAATATTTATTTCAATCATTTCTATGCCTCCAGTTGTCTAACAAGTTTTTTTAAACTTAAAAGATTTCTCTTACCTGGATATAACAAGCTCACAAAAAGACGGAAACAGAACAAACAGATGTGGACGCTTGTTGTGATTCTCCTTTGTAAGGCCTCCTTTCAAATATGGATGTAATGGAAGAACGGATGCTGTATCTGAATGTATTACCAGACGAGCCAGCTCTTGAAGGACAAATATTATTTCTTCAAGTCTTGCTGTTGGCAATTGATGGCCACCTGCATATAGACAGTTTGATCATCAACACTACATTACCTTGGGAGGAGAGAAATGTTCAAAAATCACTTATTAGACTAGAGAAGTAACACACCCAAGTCATTCTCGTCAATCAGAAATTTTCTCAAGATGTCTTCACACCTTGTCAGGAGTATCATGATCGAAATTTTGTTAACTTCAGATCCAGCCAAGTTGTGGCAACTGACATCATTGTTGCAACTGTGAACAAAGTATTACTGCGTCAAGGGTTAACAATAGCTTTGTACATGAATTTTACAGAGATTTTGAAACAAACAAAAGATTGCTACCAACAAGAAGACGTTTCTGATTCAGTTACAAGAAATGATGCATGGAGATGGTGACATGATTTAGTAAGCAAATTGTCATGCTCCAAGTAGCCTACACAACTACTCAATTGGAGTGGGGTCTACCAACATGACTCAAAAGCTTAAGCCCAAGTGGCTAGTAGTAGTCTACTTGGTTCACTACATACCATACAAATATTTTATATTCTATCTATGTGGATTATCACAATCTCCCCCACTATATTCTATCTATGTGGATTATCACAATCTCCCCCACTCAAATACACAACACCCTCGTTGCATCCTATGATACTTCACTTACACCTCCCCGAGCAAAGTGAGATTCCAAGACCCCCCCCCCCTCTCTCCCGCAAGGGCACACGTGTCCTCGTGTGTGGGGCCCACACTTCTGCTTGGGTTCAAATCTCGTACCATTTGTAATGCCCCAAGTAGCCTATTGGCCCAACAACTTGATTGGAGTGGATCTACTAACATGACTCAAAAGCTTAAGCCCAAGGTGCTAGTAGTAGTCTACTTTTCATTATATACCAAACTAACATTTCATATTCTATTGTTGTGGGATATCACAAAAATAATTACATGTTAACGAGACTAACTAATAACAATGTACACATCCAGTATACTAAATCAATGGGATAAGGTCTCATCAATCAACTGTTTTGAAGGGGGTCTGAGAGGGGGTAGATTGGGAACAAATCTAACATTTTGTAAAATTTGCACAAGGAGCAAAGTGGCTGTCCTCATGTTTGAAGCTACAACCTCAAGGTTAGTAGGTCAAGTTTGAACCACTGATCAACAAGTGGCCCCTCTTCAGAATTTGATCAATAATCCTCACAAAAAAATCATTATGATCAATAACCAAAGCAATATAAGGAATAACTCCTCACAAGCACATAATCTATAAGCTCTCAGGAATGGATGCCATCACCGTATGCAATCTATACCTGCTTAGTGAAAATAGCTTCTGCAAGCAAGTCAAAGAGAATCTGCTACAGTGGGAAGGCATGAGCTCCACAGTTTCAACAGGCAGAGAGCATGTTCGCGATGCACAACGGTCCATGGTCAAAACTAGTCGTCGCAAAATCTGTCAAAATCAATGTTCAAGAACAATAATGAAACTTGCAAACCATTTCTCTGAAAAACAAGGTGCTTCTAGATATCTGAGAACTCAATTTTCGTATCTTCCTACCCAAGTAAGTGATTCATAAAGAAGAAAACAAACAATGGCATCTTCTTTATTTTAAGGATAGACAAATAGTTTGGTATAAATAATTGAAATATCAGGAACTGAGCCGTATTCAGAGGCAGTAAATGAGTAAAACTGGTGTTAGATTATGCTTTCTCTACACAAAAGTTTGATCTGTTATTCATTTTTTCTTTTCCCAGTGAGTGGTTTTATTATTATATTTTTATTATCATATAAGTCCCTTCTCTACTGCTACCATTATTATAATTCTCATATGCTGTCATTATTATTTGGACACGAGTATTTCATCACGATTGTCATTTTATGTAGACATTAAAATTAAGAATAATTATCATGCTCAGTCATAACAACAATAACAAAACTAAAAATATTAAAACAATAATTATAATTATAACAATGAAAAAACAAGATTTCTACATAAAGCCAATCAAATCGGGGTTCCTCAACTAAAGACAAGGCATCAAATTAAGCTATTTCTACGTGTTAAGTAAGCAAGAAGATTACATCAGATGGCGCATCAATTTCCGACTTCAGAATCTTGTCACCCAAAATGTCTAAAATATTCATCTCAAGAGACTCATCAGACTTGAGCACTGTAGCTGACATAGAATTTGAAGGGAGGGCTCGTCCGCAGTAGCCCACTAGGAATCTTTCATAAACATCTGCAACTTCTTTCCAGATACGTATTCTTGCAGGTCTACTAACAGTTGTGTCTGGCCCACAATTTGTTGTTAATTTGCTGACATCATCAACAAGAATACGGTTGAAGCCTTCAACAGCTAATCTCCAAAGCCCACCTTCAGGGTTGTCTCTTCTTGTAGTCATACATCTATATATCAAAAAATACGATACATCTCAATAGGCAAACAAGAGCAGCTATCTCTTATGAATATCATGTGTAGAAAGAAGGTAATGGTGAGGGGCTATGTTACATGGACTCAGTATGAATGTTGGGTGCTGTGCAGGTATGTGTCTAAGAGTAGGATTCATCTAATTCTCATGTCTAATGACACCAGGACACAGTTATATTTCATATTTCTTGAACAATTATTTTATATTTTAGGGTATAATGATGTTTACAATATAACATAATATTATGCATAGAATGAGAGTGTTATGAATGGATGTAAACACTGTTACACTACTACTTAAGCTTACTGCATATGTCAAGACATGTTGGACAGATATCCTATATCCCTACTCAAATGTCAAGTGTTCGACAAGGGTATTTCACAAATTTTGAAGTGTCCATGTAACATGGATAAGAGACATGAAAACTTGACTTTCCTTGAAGTGATTCTACTGTAATCCACATGTGCATAAATGATGCCGCAAAAGTGAATGTGTGCTTCTGTTTCATACGTGAAAAATCGGTATGAAATCTATCAATCGTGTAACTAATGAATCAAACTGAAAAAAGGCAGGGAGGTTAGCCATAAAGACGAGAGACTACGATTCCCCCAAAAGAAGCCATCATAAGATTACTGACTAGTAACTAGACCATAATCAGTGGCACAAGGCCAATTGAGAAGATTTAAATAAAATAAGGCTTTGATGCCCATCAAAAGAACTTATGTTTGTGCTGGATTCTGTCTAGATCCCAATTAAACTTCTTCAATATAAGTATGTGGAACATGCATAGAAACATAAGGAAAGATTGGAGAAACTAAGCCAGAATCCTGAAGATTAAATAACAAAAATTAAGAAATAAAAACCTGTCACATGTGAGATCTCTACAATAACCTTGAAAGCTGATTTTAGGATACATAATTGAATAAAGACCTAGCTTTTATTTACAAGAAAGAAAGAGTTCTTCGAAATGTTAGTTTCTCACTCTTTGATAAGCTATCACAGAGGGACGGCAGTGTCAAGAAGAGTTCAGTGATATTGTTATAGCACTTCTATATTTTAGTGAATTTAACTATGAGACTGCCAGGATACTAACAAAAGAGTGAACAACATTGACAAACAGGCTGCATCCCAGCACTCAGCACATTTTCAGCATTTGCAAAATTAGTATCAGGGAATTAAGCAAATTTACCTTCCAAGACCTTGAACAATTTCAGGAAAAATATTATACTTTTCTATTGCAGGAGCCTGTAAGAAAAGATCCACAAGAACAGGAACAAGCTTCTCAGCAAGCAGATAGCTTGAGATGCCAGCTGTCGTAGAAGTGTTTGGGGATATGAGATCAATCCCATCAGGAACCTCAGGCTTTATCATCTTATTATTGTCTGTGAAATGTAACTTAATTTCAAATTGTCGTTCATCTCAAACAGAAAAAAAAAAAAAAAAAAAACATAAATCCATGTCAGGTGCCAATTCTGTACCGTGAATATGATGTGCAGTGCTGGTTTGCTCTGTCTTGTCCTCTACACTCTGTACTGAAGAATCAGAAAATGGAAGGTAATGCAAAAGTTCCCCTAGAAAGAAAGACCACATTGACGAAAGATGCTCTGCCGGATGTAACAGCGGTAAGATTTCCAGAACAGTACGCTGCACAGGTGGAACATGTCCCTGGAGAAAAGCAGCTGGAATTTCATTATCAAGAATACATCTGCAGTGGAAACTCAGACCAACTCAATAATTCAAGTTATGTTCTCTCTAAAAAAAAAAAAGAAGATAAAGCACAAAAAATGTTTTATGTTTTGTTATATTGGTTTATAACATTGTATACTACGGCCAGGAAAAAGAAATACAGTGGCAGTCGAGGTTTCAATGATTTTGGGGTTGAAGGAAATCTACCATTATGGAATGAAAAAATTGACTTACAAATTCTGCTTCAAAGTGGTAATTTGTAAACTTGGCTTGTTTGACTGCCATATGTACGATTGCTAGTAACCGTGTGTACATGGCATTGTCAAACATCGCTTGTGCTTGCTCATATAATTCTCCTGCCCAAAAATTGAAGTTGCAAATAAATACAATTATGCTTCTTGCTCAAAATACAGTGCCCTTACTGGAAGAAAGAAACAACAGAATCAGTAAATATCCATGTCTCCTTGATCAAATCATTTTTGACAAAAAGAAATCACAGTGTCTGCCTCAAACACTTCACAGATAAGATGGATATCTTGATTTTTCAAGTAATTGTAATATGTGCTCAACTATACGAGTAAAGAAAAACAATAAATAAACTAATTAAAATCCATGTTGCCATAATGTATTACCAAGACCCTGTAAAATCTCTTGTTTCACCTTGCTGGCTGCATTATCACCATAGTTTTCTGAATTCTGAAGAACAAGCTCATAAACATCAAGAACTGATTTCAGGTAATCCAATGGCAAGTTTCCCTGATTCAGATTATGACTTTAGTTAGAACATAGAAGATAAGCAGATGCAGAAAACCACTGCTAATTACAAGTCAAATTAGATCATGCTTATTGTAGGCAAAGGTATGAGGTGGCCAGTTGTGGACCTCTGGGAAGATCGTTGACACTTCAATAGCCAAGAGTTTCGGGAGATGGAGGAGACGAGTACCAAGACAGCCTTAGAGGAGAGTGCGTGGCAGTGATAGAGACATTAGCAAAAGAATGAAGATGATCAGAGTTGGGTGTTGTTTAGGTGCATGGATACCCTTGTAAATAAAATCCAAGACTTTTGGAGGCTAGCTCACCTCTGGACAGGTGGCTGACTTCACTTGGGCTGATAGAGCGGAGGAATTTGGTCTACGTCTCGTAGTTTTATAACGTTGTATACTATGGCCAGGAAAAAGAAATACAGCAGCAGGTGTCAGGTGCGTGGGTCAATGCCACTCTCTCTAAGGCTAGTCAAGGAGGGATTGTTCTTCAAGGGGGACAAGCCAAGCAACTTTGACGAGCCCTTGTTCTTAGTCTCCAAGCCACAATCCTCCAACGCTCTCAAGTGGTGGATACCCAGGCTCTGGTGCCTTGCTCCCTGCCTAGGATGGCAAAGTTAATATGTAGAAGTCTTACCTAGGGGGTAAAGGACATAGGGTAGACATGGCCAAACAAGTAGGAGCCAGAACATGCTGCTGCCGAGCATTGCCACCTCGGCTTGGCTGAGTGGTACTCTTGGCCACTGTTTGCCATACCCTATGGGAATGAGGTATGAGCTATGAAGCACGGACACGGACACGCGACACGACACGGACACGCAAAAATGCAAATTTTTGAAAAATAGGGGACACGACACGCTGGGGACACGTTCAATATATATAATTAAATTTATTATTATATGTCATAAAATTATTAAAAAAAAAAGAATCATAGAAAGGTAATAAAAAATACCACCCTTAATAGCCATTGTTTCATAATTAAAAATTAATTCTTATAATAAAATTGATAAACATATATTATTAAAATTAACAAAATTAATCAACAAAATATATATATACACTAAAATAAGAGAGGCAGAGTGAGAGAAAAGAAAATATAAAATGAAATCAGAAAAAGAAAAAAAATAAAAGAGAGAGGGACAGATAAATTACACCAAAAACTGACCCTATAAAAGAAAAAAAAAATCAAATAAAAGAAAAGAAATGAAGAGGTCAAAGCAGATCAGAAAAGAGAGAAAGCGAGAGAGCGACTGCGAGAGAGAGAGAGAGTGCGATTGAAAGCGATTGAGAGAGACGAGAGAGAAGATCGGAGAAGACGAAGAAGATCGAAGAAGAAGAAGAAGAAGTTGTACCTTAGATAGTAGACCACCAACGAACGACCACCGACGAGCGACGAACGACCACCCATATGCGACCAGGTGTTCTCTCTGTTCTCTTTCTCTTTTGCTCTCTCTGTCGATCAACGAGCATTAGATTACATGTTCTGTTTTTGCTTTTTACAAATTGACCCCACAGAAGTTTCATAAATTATGAGTTTCACCCTGAACGTGTCCCGAACGTATCCAAACGTGTCCGTTACGTGTCCGGCTGCAAAAAAATAAAAAAAAAATTCGGACACCTTCTACGACGTGTCGGACACGTGTCAACCGCGTGTCCAACGCGTGTCCGACACTGATACGCAGCCTTCAGAGAGGTGTCCGTGCTTCATAGGGTATGAGTGGTCGTGGTTTGGTAGGAGCCCGACTATTTGAGCATGTAGGATGTCATGCCATGACACTGTTGAGCAAGCATGGTTGAGCAGGTGAGACTTGGCTCAAGCGAAGGGTGCTATAGGTCATGCCTCAGGGCTCTTGAAATTTTGACTCAATCAATTGGTGCATTAACCTGCAACTAGGGACCAAATTCGTTAGCAGGTCAAGCTACCATACTTTCATGGTTTCTATGCCCCCACTTAAGCTAGGCACACAACCACAATTAATTAATATGGGGGATACCGTGGCACCCTGAGGATCAGGCACACGGAGGCTGATAAACTTGAAGTGGAGATCATGTGGCACCCATGAGACCATCACCTACCACCAATTTACCATCACCTACCACCACCTACACCTCACCTACTCCACTAAACCTAACCCACTACACCACTATCACCTCACCTACTCCACTAAACCTAACCCACTAAATCCACATACTCTCCACCTACTTCACCCACTTAAACCTACTCCACTAAACCTAACCCACTACACCACTACCACCTCACCTACTCCACTAAACCTAACCCACTACACCACATCAATCAATAATACAATCAATTTATTCTCTCTCTCTTTTCCTATACATTAATTCTAATATTTGTTTCTCTCTCTCTTTTCCTATATATTAATTTTAACATGGTATCAGAGCAAGGTTAAAGATCTTGGTGTTCTTCGCCTTCCGGCGGGCGGCAACCTTGCCTTGACCGCCCGCCGGAGCTCAACCAATTCAAACCTCCCTCTCCCTCTCGGCACATCACTTTCTCTCTACAAATTTCTCCGTCATATATAGGAATCATTGTAACATATCAAGATATCAATCAATAATACAATCAATTTATTCTCTCTCTCTTTTCCTATACATTAATTCTAATATTTGTTTCTCTCTCTCTTTTCCTATATATTAATTTTAACACTCACCATGTAGCAAGAGTGATGCAAATACCCACAATTATCATAACAGGCATTTCAAGGAAACAATAGTCATACAACATATTTCACTTCAAAGATGAAGTAGAAGTAGTTGTAATATGGAAATTTTACCTTAGGAGAATGAGAAATGACCGTGGACTGTAAGCAATTTATTGCTGCAAGAGCAACCTCTTTACTACCATGTAAAATGCTATTCTTAACGAAAAGAAGCAATGATTCCCATCCTGTACATATTACATCTAAAATATTAGCCAATGGATTTCGTGATGATGACATTAATACACTTAATAAAAAGTCAAGTTGACTTACCGGACCAAAAATTGCTCAAACTTCTAAGGAAAGGAAAGAAAGATCGTAGAAGTCGTCCTATTCCGCCCAGTACTAATACCAGTGTTTCATCCCACTGTTTCTGAGCAGTGTTGCGGCTGCAAATCCATCAAAGAGATGACATAGCTTGTACAACTGGATTCAAAAAAAGGAAAAAGAAAAAAAACAAAAACAGGAAAATAGAAAAGTTTGTTTTGGGATCAAGACGAAATAATTAAATTGTATATACCTATGATGTATGAGCACACTTGGTACGCCAAGTTGGAGGATAAAGTGAAGCAGAAGTAGGAAGAGTTGGCTAAGGCCTTTGTCAATCAGTACTCTTACAATACCCAACTTGAAATAACCACGCAAGAGCTTGAAGCAATCTACCAGAATCTTGGAGAACCTTTTGTGGAATTTGTTGCGAGGTGGAGAGCAAAGACAACACAATTGACAAATCGCCTTTCTTAGAGGGACCAAGTGCGGATAGTGGTATAGAACCTTGAGCCTGATATGTTACAGAAGTTAATAGTTGCTCCACTGTTCACTCTCAAAACTTTGCATGAATTGGGAGTTCAAATTGAGAGTGCATTCAACAAGGGGATTATTCCTAGAACAAGTGAAGCGACAAAGAGGGTGTTTTCAAGGAGTACCAATGCTGGTAGTAGCACTATTCCCAAACCCACTAAAATCAACACCGTCGCCACTCCAAAAAATGCCGACCCTTTTGCCAATGCCAACCCATGAACAGTTGGCCCAACCTGAGCTCAAGGCAGAACTTTCACCCCCCTCTATATGAGCCTAACTAGCGCATTAAAAGTCCTGATGGAAAGAGGGTATCTCAAAGCCCTTAAACCTCAACCTCTGTTTGACCCACTCCCTGCCAGATATAACCCCACCAAATATTGCGTGTATCATCAGCAGCACGGTCATGGCATCAATCGTTGCTATCGCCTTTGTCATGAGGTTCAGAATCTCATCGACAACCAGACGATAGCTCTACCTCAAGACCCCAATGACCAAGTACCTCATCCACACCTTAACCTCATCTGTACACTGTAATCCACTTACAATCCCAGCATATACATCACCCCGGCCCATCTACCTAAGCCTGAGGTATTTATTCCAGAAAGCACGGACTTGTGCATGATGGATGCATTTGAACCCCAATCATCTCAAATGCATGAACCCACTACTTTTGAGCTAATGAGCATGATTAAAGATCTTCAGAGAACAGTGTCAGATTTAGCCTTTGGGGTTTTGGCCCCATCATCGGCCACATCACATACTAGAAATTTCACACCAAAAGGCTCCCCAATCTTGGGGCGAGCTACGGTTGAAAATGGCCAACCTAAAGCTATCTCAAGTCTGGGCAATGATATGTCGACAACAACTGGGCTTCACTTTGATATAGCAACCCAATCCCTTGGTAAAGTGGAGGTAAATGATAAGAACAAGGTAGGGGCAGGCATTGGTCCCTATGAACATCTTCAGTAGGCTGTTGAGGCTTTGAAGGCTGAAGGACTGAACAAACAGCAAGTGCTCGCAGTTATTGTAAAGACTATGGATGACACTTTTGCCACTCAAGTTCGAGGCATTTCGAATCAAGGGGCAAGCCATGAAAAGGGATGTCGTACCAGAAACACCTCTTTCAGCTCCAATCCTATACTCATAAGAGATCATCAAACCATTCAGCACCTGCCAACCCCTTTGCCGGTACATCCAACACAACTTCACAAACCTCAAGCCATCAGGCTCGAGACCAGAGGGTCTTCACCTCGCTTTACATGACTTTGTCCAAAGCTCTTCAAATCCTTATAGGGTAAGGCTATCTCAAACCCCTTGAGCCTCGACCTTTCCCGGATCCCCTTCCAACCAGGCATAATGCTACCAAGTACTGTGCCTTCTATCAATAAACCGATCATGACATTGACGGTTGTTATCATCTTCGCCATGAAGTTCAAGATCTGATTGACAACGAGGTCATCGTCGCACCAGGTTCTGCAAAGTCTATCGGCACTAGATCGATGACCTTGGGGGATAATGTGACTATTTGATCAGGGGATGAACCACCTGCTAATGGCGCTCAGTTTACTCCAAATATGGAGATGGTATGCACTGTTTTGAGTAATTTACGAATGATGTTTACTTTACTTTCTGACTTGGATATTGGGTCAATTTTGTCGTGTTGTTTTGAGTCAATCTTGATGTATTGAGTCTGTCTTGTTGTGTCGGAGGTTGGTGATTTCTGGGTGTGTTAACTCGGGCATTATTTTCTTATTTTTTGTTTGTCTTTTACATTTTTTCTTTTACGTCTGCCATTGAGCCAGTTGTGCCAGAAGATCTAAATGAAACGACAGTGCATTTTCACTTACTTTTCTGTGCCTTTAAGTCATTGCATTGACCTAAGTTCTTCAAAACCTTTTCTAACACTGTGTTGAAAACAAAGACAAAGGAATTCCTCGGGATTTTGTAAAAATTTAATCAAACTGAGAGAAAGAGAGGCGTGCTAAGCCTTTAGTGAATGAGATCATGTTTGTTAATGTGAGTACTGAGAATGATCCTGGCTTGATCTAGATTGGTTCTACATTGTCCTCAGGAGTGCGCAAGCGACTAGCCGCTTTATTAAAAGATTTCAAAAAATGTTTTGCGTGGTCCTATGAAGACATGCGTGGAATCGCTCTCGAGATTGTACCGCATAGGATCACTTTCGGCCTCGAGACTCGATCCCTTTGCTTTCAAACCTTGAACCTTGACTCAGAATGTTCAACAATCAATCACAATATGAGGTTTGCATGATCCGATTGGGAGCAACCCTTAAACTAGGGGCAAGAAGGCCAGATGTCATCAAAGGAAGCTTGCGTAGCTGGATTGGAAGAAACCCTTGAACTAGGGGCAAAAATGTCAAGATTGAAGATTCAAAATTGGGTTATCTCTCAAACCAATGAAGACTGGCAAGAAAGCCCAATCCCAGAATTTGAAAGAAGAAAATTTATTGCTGAAAGGACAATCGAGTTCCTATCCACAACACTAGGGGCAAATTCAAACTCGATTGGACGAGCTCCTACATCATCAGCGAACAACAACCATTCTTCTGGATTCAGATGGCTTAGAGATCCTATGACCAATCAAAATAGACAAGTTAAACTTTTCTATCCTTGAGAGTCTCACTGGGTCGAAAACCCAGAAGGGCGACAACCTAGAAGGGCGACCCAGGAAAAAGTTAGAGCAATACAAAAAGAAAGAAGAAAAACAAAAAAAGAAAAAGAACAAAAATGAAAAATGGATAGAAAAAGAGAAAAGAGAAAAGTGGAGAAAAAAAATGAAAAGAAAAGAAAAACAGAGCTTGTAAGGTTGAAAATCCGGAAGGGTGACTTTGGCAAAAGTTAGAGCGCAAAAGGAGAGTGTCAACACCCGAGTGAACCTTAACCCGGAACTACGTACGGCCTGATTCCCATCTTTGGGATACGTAGGCAAATTCATCTTGAAGTTCGGCTCCAACAATTTTCGGCTTGCTAGTCTCATCCATGTTGATTGGCTTATCCTTGTTCAAACTAGGTTATCTTATCCATGCGCAAATTGGCTTGTCTTTGTTCAAATTCGGTTGTCCTATTCCATTAGAAAGTTTAGTTACAAGGCAAATCAAATTCAGATCTGAGATTATGCGTCTCGAGAGTAGATTCTGCGTTGGTTGAGCAATGGCCATTTGCAAAAATAGTTTTGAAGGTTTTTAGTGAGGTTAACTAATTTTCTCAGAAATTATTCATTTTTTCCAAAATTGGACCATTCCTTGGACCCAAAAAAAGAAAATTTTCAGTGCTCACAATCTGACTTGCATGATTTCAAGTCAGAAAATCAAACAAGCATGTTAATCTAACTTTCATATTGATCAAAATTGTTTTAGTAGAAAGCCAAAAACAAAAAATGGTCAAAATGATGAACTAGGAGCACGGTTGAGTCAGGTTTTCTGTCTTTTTCCCATTATCAACGTACTTGCCAGAAAGGGCACAAACAAAGCACACTAGAGGCATCAAAACACAAGGCTAGTGAGGTCCATTACACTACAGCTATACAAAGCAAGCCCCATATGACCAAACCCACTCAAAATAGAGTTAAATCATGCTAAAACATGGGTAAAATCATGCTGGAGTGTGGTCAAAATAAACTAGAATGATGGGCTAAAACATCAAGCATACAAGGTTAATTAGCAAGATTACACTACAAGTGTAAGAAGCATGCATGAGGTGACTCAACCAGGCCAAAATAGAGTTACAACATGCTAAAACAAGGTCAAAAGTAGGCTGAGATTAAGTCAAGTGATGGTAGAAAAACATGCTCAATAAGTAGGCCAACAAGACATGTAACCAAGAAACAAATAGGGGAGGCCACCCCCTCTTACTTTGGACCTCAAAACATGATTTCTACCACTGAAATTTCTTTGAGTTTCAGTGGTAGAAAGGCCAAACAAAGGGTGCCTCAAAAGCCTTAAGAGATGGCACAAGGCTTAAGCAAATAAGGCACACAAGAGAGAGAGAGAGAGAAAGAGAAAGAGAGAGAGAGAGAGATTTCAACTCTGAAATTTTTGTAATCCCTCTAAAGGGGGAGGGAACTCCTGTAATAACCCTCACCACTGCTTACCGATAAACATTGATTACCGTTAAACTGAACTGATCATGACTGATAATTGAACTGATTAAAGTACCGAACTGACTGATAATTGAACTGATTAAAGTACTGAACTGACCGACTGAAAACTGGAACTGAATTGACTGAGTATGTGTGTTACTCTGTATTCTATCTGTTTGATTGATTATTTGATCTGTTCACGTTTTATGTTTAAACTGCTAATTGAAGGCCTTATCGGCGGCCAAACCAGGAATTGATTGATGTTTTATGATCATCATAATTAATGTGATTTTACGGTGTAATTATTTGAAAACTGATTAGGTATGATTAAATTAGATTAAATATTGACCAATTGCAGAGGTTGCCTCATTTACAACTTTGCCCTTGAGTGGGCCACTATCTATACACCTTTGAGCTACACCACACTTGAATCAAAACATTTCCTCAGCCTTGTTTGAGCTCTTGCCGACCTTAGAGAGTGAGGAAGGGAGAGTAGTGAATTCAACATAGAGATTTAGCTTGAATCTTGAGGAATTGATAGCTTAAGTGCTTAATTGAGCCTCTAGACCTGCATTCAAGGAAACTAGGTATGAATTTCATCTTTTTGATTTTGTCTTTAAGTTGATTCATGCATGGTTCATGTCTAATTATAGAGCTAAGTCATGAATTGGTTCATTAATGGTGAATTGAAGCTCATTTCATACATGCATGTTTGAATTGTTGAGTTGTGAGTTGCTTTCATGGTAAAATGGTACATGCATGTCCATAATTTTGTAATGGTCCATGTTTTCATCTTGTTTTTGGATCAATTGGCTCCTTAGAGCATCAAATTGAAGCTTCAAAATGATTTGAATTCATGCATGTTTGCATGTTCTTATTGTTCTTGAAAATGGTTTGAAATTGGGTTTGAATTAAACACCCTTGGGCTTTGATTTCTCAAAGTTGAGTTTTGAATCATGTTTAACTATGTGTTTACAAATGTTTTCTGGAAATTCAGCCCAAGAGGTCGAGTTTTGAGTTGTTAAAACATTGGTTTTTGGCTTGGAGGTGCAATCTGGAATTCCCAGATTTTGCATTTCCGCTCGAGCGTGGAAAGTGGCGCTCGAGCGTGGAATCCGAGCATCCAGTATTTTCTCTGCACTGTTTTACAGTCCGCTCGAGCGGAGGATGGGGAGCTTGAGTGGAGGCATGTGTCTCACGATCGAGCGGGCGTCGAGCGTCCGTCGAACGGAGATTTCACCCATCCAGTACTTTTACAGTATGCTCGAGCGGGAAAGTTGACGCTCGAGCGTGTACCTTGTTGCATGTCCGCTCGAGCGGGTAAAACCGCGCTCGAGCGGGACTCTGTTTTTCTGAAACTTCTGAAACTGCTTTTTGAGTACATCTTTGCATCCTCATCCCATTCTAGGCATTCTTAGGCCTAGTTTAAGGCGTCTTGTTGAGGATAGAACACACCGAGGCAATTAGGGGTTAAGTTATTATCTTTGCCCAACTGTGTAGCTTAGTGTGTTCAATCTGTTAACTGTGTAGGGCTGGCGACTGGGGAGACACGCTCTAGCATACTGTAGCCCAGAACTCTGTGAGTAACGATTGTGTAAAGATATGTTCACAAATGATTACCTTCTGAACAACTGAACTGTACTGTTTTCTGAACTGATTTACTGTTAACTGAATGAATGTATGTCTTATATTCTGAACTGTATTGTGGCATCCTTAGCACCTACTATTTACTGTTACTGTGACAGAATTCTCTGTCGGTTCCCTCGTTGGAACCACCACTGTTTACTGACTGATGGCCATCATTACTGCTCGGTCTTTTAAGACCTACTGTTTACTGTACTGATATGCTGATGGATGTACCACATATGACTGTACTGACTGAATGACTGAAATACTGTTTAAATGAATTGTTTTCATACTGTAAGGACATTCATTCTTAACCCCTTTACGCATTATGTTATTCACTGGGCTTTAGCTCACTGCTCATATATATATGTAGGTGTACAGGCACCAAACCGCGGCTAGGAGCGTCAGGGTTACTCCAGTTTTGTCAAGCCAGCCTATGTGCCTCACTGCGAGGTTCCGAGCCTATCCTGTTAAGGCTTAGGGGTGTTTTACAATTCCCCTTTCTGTACTGTCTTACTGTTTTGTATAGATCGAATGCTTACTGTACTGTGATGTGAAGGGTTGAGTCCCTAGTCTGAATGATTGTACATTTTGTGCATACTGTTCTGTACTGATTATGTATATATGTATGAAAGTCTTTTTGCATACAAACTGTCATAGCTCATTGGACATTGTTTATTTACTGTTTTGGCTTCCGCCAAGCCCTGTACTCTATTTTACTGTTCTTCTGTCCTGCAGGCCATTGGTAATCTCGGATTACTGGCCGGTTACGGTGCTAAACCCATAGGGCCGGGTTTGGGTCATGACAGCTCCCTTTATATAGAGTAAGCAAGCAAAAAGGCTTGATTGATCCCTCCATATGGAGGATGAGTTCAGTGAGCCACAGCTGGCTCAAAAGATTAAAAATATCTAAAAAGGAGAAAAATTGGCCGCCGGCCAGTTAGGGTGGCCGGCCCGCCACTTTCCCTAGCTGACCGACCACTTGAAGTGGCCTACAAGAGAGAAAAGTGACCGGCAAGGCCTTCCCCTCCCCTAAGCAAGAGGCAACAAGGTTTGGCCAAAAACAAGGACAAAACATAGAGAGTTAAGAGGCTCAAAGACAAGGCACTTAACTGAGACTCTCGGGCGCTCAAAACAAGCATAAACATGCGCAATCATCGAGTGCACAACCGATGACGTCAAAGTCTTGAGGTCGGTCAAAAATGGGGTGTCTACAGTGTTTCTTTCTCTTTCTCTGCTTCTTCCTCTTTTATGGAAACCTCAGTTGTCTTCTCTTCAGGGTCAAGCAGAAGTTTTCTCTTCCTCTGTTGTTGCTGCTTGCCTTTGAGGATATCCAAGGCTTGAACTCTCTGAGGAAAGTCCTCCTGTGAGGCTCCTGCACTAAAGAAAGGCTATAAATAACTAAGTAAGGTATCATAAAGAGAAAAGAAAAAAAAGAGAGGGATGCAGCAGTGCACACCTTTCTTCGAAGCAGCTCTAGTAACTCCAGGAGGAGGAGATGGGGCAGCATGAATAGTCCTTGCGGTAGCATGAGTAGGAGCTGGAATAGCAGGGGCAATAAAGGAAGTAATGATCCCAGTCCCCTTGGACTTGGCCTAAGGCACATCTAGTCCCACTAACAAATCTTGAGGAGGGATGGGCAAGTACACCTCAATATTGGCCATCCACCAATTCTGGTATCTTTTCAATGTATTGCTTAAGGAAAGAAGGGTAAGTATTCAAAATCAATTAAGTCTTGGATTAACTTTGAGGTTGCTTCCTCCACTCTGGACCTTGGAACCTTCAGTTCTCTGCTTATAAGATTTGAGTTGGATTGGCTGCAGAGAGGGATAGGAATTCCCTAAGTGAATCCAAATTGCATAACAAATTGGGCAGGGTAGTAAGGCTCAGAAATACACTTATAAGCTCTAGGATTTATAGTGCCAATGAAATGCTCCCTCAAAATCAGAATGGAAGCCCACATATCTTTGTGTTGAGGCCTAGAGCAAGACTTGTCACCCAAAAAGGCGCTCAGCCAGGCTGGTCCAATGTTGGCTTCGAAGAGACAGAAAAAGAGGCTAGAAGAGGAAGTTGGGAGTCAATGGAAAAAACAAAAGTAGAAAGCTAAATTGGAAGGGTAAAGAGAGACCCTGGTGAACTTTATGCCGTAAGAGGTAGGGTCTGGTAATAGAAATCTTAGGCATTTAGAGTGCAACTCAGTGAAGTATGCAAAAAGGCAGAGTTGGAGTATCCAAAATGGGCCTCATTGATTTGCATCCATGGGTTTTTCACAAAATTAGGAGCAAGTTCTGTAGACATGATCCAAAACATATGGAGCTAAAGCTACCTTTTTATGCAAAACAAAAGCTTTGGCGAGAGGGGCAAACTCAGGTGCAATCCTCTAAGAAGAGGTACAGAAGAGGAATTTACAAAGTCAATATAATAAAAAAGAAAAGAGTTCCCTATCAGTTACAGGACATTCCCTTTCGTTCTCAAATTTGACAAAGTCATTATAGGATGAGTTCAGAGGAGCAATAGAAACAGAGACATTAAGGTCAAGTTAGTTTGGACCAAGGGGAGAGTGCCAATAGGGGATAACCTTAAAAGATGGCAAATGTCAAGGACAGTAAGGGCCATCATACCACATCTAAATTGGAAGAAATTAAAAATAGAGTTCCAAAAACAAAGAACAGCAGGTATTAAAAATAGATCCTCCGAAATAGTGAACCTGGATAGTTGAAGGGTGTCGAAGAGGCAAAGTTCCTAGAGATCTAATAACCTGGCAGAAATAACTCGATCGTACTATTTCTCCTATTCTGGCCTTACTGTGGGCCAGCAACGATGGGTTTGGTTCATCCTCTAGCTTTCCCAATCAAGACCACCTTCATAGAGGAGGCAGTGATCCTCTAAACGTGGGTATAAAGCAAGAAGCTGAGTAGGGGCCTCCTTAAAAATGGGCCCAAGCACATATTCTTGTTGCTCGTGGCGACGGGGAATGAAAATGCGCCCATTGATAGCACTTTGTTCGCCAGCTTTGTACTTCTCACATTCTTCAATGATAATCCTCTTCAAAGCTACGGATGGGCTCACACACTCCACAACTGGTACTTTCAAGGAGGAAGAAGCTGAGAAAAAGAGTAAAGAGGATGAGAGAGCAATAGAAATGAATGGTTTGTGTTTTGGGCGAGCAAGTAAGTTAAAAGCGCGAAGAGAAAGGGTTTTTTAAACCTTTCTGTTCGAAAGATACCCAATCAGTCTAAATGGATAAAAAAACCCGAGATAACTGTTTGACTAATTTTGGAACCCATATGAGTTTAAGCCTTTGTCTTAAAATTCAAAGGAGTCCTGAAAGTACAACATGGAAAGTTTCTCTCAAGGGTGATTGTTTAGTAGGGAAACGTATCTGAAACACTCAGATTGGCCTTGAAAATAGATATTTGGCTTCGACACCAGGATTTGGCTCCAAAGCCAGATGTCAAACATCCAGCTAGGGCTTTGAGAGCAGGTAGTTGACTTTGAAGCACGTTTTATGCCTAAGAATGCAATAATGTTTAGGTTTGATCTACTTCAAAGGGATTGGGGACTTCCTCTTAGGCTTTTTGTAAAAAGTAAAATCCTTCGAAGTGAACTTTGAAGTATTCTGTAATTAGAATTTGATTCTTATTTAATGTTTTAGACTTCAAAGTTGCAAAGACAATACCAAGTCAAGTAAAGGATCAAAATCCAAAAAGACTTACTTGAACATGAAAAATTCCTTTTAGGATTTTCTGTCAAAATAAACCCTTTTTTGGGAAGGAGCATTGTTACTTTTAAAAGTAGTTCTATACTTCGAAGCACTTAAAAGTAACTTTGATACAAAGGTTAGTTAATTCAAAGTTATTAGATTATGTTGACCATGCGATTGGAATGAGAAGACTTAAGGAAAAAATGTCAATTGCATTCCATACTTCGGAGATATTCAAATCAGGCTTCAAATATTCCATACTTTGGAGACGTCAAATCAGGCTTTGAAGCAAAAATTGGTTAATTCGAAGCTCCAATTTTATTTGAATTGTGTGAATAAAATGGTCACAAGCATGCAATTGGAACATAAAACTAGATCATGTCAAATAGGGGAAGCAAACCCCTAGTTTTATTGATATGTAAGTAATTACATTAGAAATGTCTAACTGGCTACGAATTCAATTTTATAATAATAGGGAATAGAAAGAGTAACAAGTTCATTAAATTCAACCCAACAGTGTTCAATGAACTTATGTTTTTTTTTTATTCTATTTTTTATCCTATCAAAGCTAGGTTGTTGCAGCTGGTATGCTCTTATTTAGTGAAAAAGTTGTTCAGCTTTCACCTCGAACTCTGTCTCTTTCAAGCCTTGCTCCATTTCGTCCATATTTAAATCATCCCAATATATTGAATCCTTATTCTTGAAGTCATCATATTCTTCAATAAGGTTCTCTGCTTTGTATTGAGTTTGAATTCGATTGGTTGTGATTTCGTCCAAAGAGTCACTGGCAGCCAAGGAAATTTTGTACCAATGAAGGAGTGGAAGTTGATCCGAAAAAGCTTGAAGCTCTATCTGGGCAATGGGGTTGAGAACATGACCTTGGGTCATAACATCACAAGCCTATTGAAAGTTCTTGAGAGGAATCTCGTCTCCAAGAACATTGAAAGGCAAGTGAGAGAAGACAGCAAGTAAAAGTTGAGCTTTGTATCGCTCAAATGCAGTTGAAAGAGCTAGAGGTTGGTAGAAAGGAAAAAACTGATTCTCAAAAAGAGTAAGTTTCAATTCCTCCATCCAATGAGGATTCTGAGGAAGAAAAGGTGCAGAGGGATCCATCTCGAAGGAAGAGGGGAACTGGGGGTCATTCACACATTCGAGCCAGCTGTAGACACCCCATTTTTGACCGACCTTAAGACTCAGACGTCACCGATTGAGCGCTTGGTGATGTTTCATATCGTGCTCGTTCAGAGGTTTCAGAGTCTCGGCTACGAGCCTTGCCTCCGGACTTCTGGACTCTTTTGTGCTTTGCCTCGGTTTGTGAACCAAGCTCGATTTACTCTGTTTTCTCTTCGTGAAGGGAGAGAGAGGTCTCGTAGACCATCTCTCAGTGGCCGTAGGCTACGTTTCGTGGTCGTAGGCCATTTTTGCCTGTTTGGAGTCCGGTTCTCGGTTTTTCGAAATCGTTGGCCGTGTGCCTCGGTTCGGGACCGCTTAACCATCTCCGTTTGCTCCGGTTTTTGGAATACATCCTATTTGCTCCATTTTGAGGGACACTGTGGCCCGAGAGACCGACTTCGTGGTCGAACACCACTCCCGGTGCCTAACAGTTAGTTTTCGGGGCCCCGAACTACGCGTTTCGGCCCCCGAACCCTCATTTTGCATCGGTTTTGGTTCATTTTTGGCAGAGACCTCTGTTTCATTGGTAAGAAGGCCGTAGAAGGGTGGCAGGCCAGTAATTGTTCTGTCAGCCAACTTTATCCCTTCATCGCCCTCCGTCGCCCGTTTTTCTTCACTTCAGAGCCAATGTTGAACACCCTTGGACCATTTTCTTGCACCCAAAATCACATATTTGTGATGTACACACCTGGGAGGCCACCAATATTTGGTGGCCGGCCAGTAATTGTTGTTGACCCTTTTGAACCCCTTTGAAAAGGGGGTTGTTCTCTCTCCTGGTTCACTTTTTCCAGTGTTCAACCACAGGGTTGTGTTGTGCACACATCAGAGGCCCTCTTTCTGTGGTGGCCGGCCATTAATCACACTTGACCCTTTTGACCCTTGGCCGGCCGGCCATGTGAAGTAGCCGGCTGGCCACCTGCAACCTAGATAACTGGCCGGCCATGATCCTCACATCATCTACAGTGCAGAAGTGCATTCATTTTCCCCCCAGATTCTGTATCCGGGGGGCTGCATTTTGGGGGGAAACTTGACGATTTTCCCTCCATTTTCCCCCCCTTTTTCCCCCCTTTCTGTCTATATAACAGCAGCCCCAGCTCTGATTTTAGGGTTACAAAATTTCCCCCCTAAGCCTCTTGTTGTATCTCTCTTCCTCTATACACTTTAACCCTCCAACCTCTCAAGTTCCTATACCCCTTTTCACCACACCACCTAGCACCACCCTTCCATCCTTCATTCCAGCAGCTGGAGGTGATTCTTCAAGGCCTAGGAGTGCTGCAACTCAAGCCAAAAGAGCTGTCAAGGCTTGGTCTACAAAGGTGAGCTCCTTTTTCCCTTTTCTACCCTTTTCTTGATCTATACATAAGCCATACATTCTTACTGTTTTGAGCTCCGGCCCTAACTGAAAGTGGCCTTTTTTTGAGCTCCTTTTCACTTTTCATTAAGGGCCTCTCACTGTTTGAGGCCTCCTTGGTGCACTTACTTCATTATCCCTCTTGCATGCCATTATCTTGTGAAGTATTTTTGGCTTATGTATAATCTGTTTTGAGGCATGTCATAAACTGAAGAGTTGCTTATTTTGAGCCTTTCTTCAACATTGTTGAAGGGCTCATTGCTATTTGTGGCCTCAATTTACTACTACTTGCCATTATATCTCTCTTTTGGCCATATTTTTGTATGACTTGTTAGCCTCGGATGCTTCTGTTTTTGGGATCTTTTCAGAACTGAAAACAGTCTTATTTTGACCCATTCTTCATGTTTCATTAAGGGTCTTTCATGGTTTGAGGCATATTTTATATACTTTGTGTTATATCTCTCTTTTTGGCCTCATTTTGCATAGCATTTTGAACATATTTGCATACTGTTTTGGGTCCGGCCATCAACTGTAAAATGAATTATTTTTGGCTCCTCTTCAACATTATTGAAGGGCCCCTTTGTGTTTAAGGCCAGAAACCACCACTTGCTTCTTTGGCCATCTTTTGGCCCATTTCTTGCATGAGAGTTTAGCCATACCTGTGCTGGTTTTTGTGATTTTCCATAAACTGTAAAAGATCATGTTTTGGTCCCCTCTTCAACATTGTTGAAGGGACCTAATCTTTTTGGGGTCAGCAGCTGTGAGTTGCTTCTTTATCTCACATTTAGGGCCATTTTTGCATGCTAGTTTTGCCCTATTTGTGTTTGCTGTTTGGCCTTGCTTAGAACTGTAAACATGCTTATTTTGGGGCTGCCTTGAATCTGTCTTCACATGTCATAAGCAAATAATGCATGCTTGATGTAGCTACAAGTCATTTCATGCGCTTAATCTTGCATTTCGGGACCATTTCATGCATCGGGTGCCATATTCCTATGATTCGGGGCTGTTTTGGGTCATGTTTTGCTGCTGAAATTTGCATGTTTGCATATCATATTTCATGCCTTGCCATGTCTGGTTAGAGTGGCATTTGGTGCCTTAGGGTCGGTCCTCGGTTTGCGTGCATGCGTGTGCGCATCTCGAATTGTCTCATTTTCATTTGATGGCCTCTTATATGAGTGTGGCTGAGGTCCACTCATGTTGGTGTAAGTCCATTATGCATTGTGTATGCCATTTCATTTCATAGCATTGCGTATGCTAGGTTGTATGTTAGCGCATTGTGTATGCCATGTTACCTCGTGCATCGTGTATGCCATTTCATAGCATTGTGCATGCTAGGTTGTATATTAGTTGCATTTCATGCATATCATGCATATTGCATCGTGCTTGGGATAGGAGTTAGCCCGAGCACGGGAAACGAGGTACGTTTCGTACTCCGAGTGACGGAACGTGTCTCAATTCCCAGTCACCGACGCTCCGGATTATCCATGATGGAGTTAGGTTTTAGTTGAATTTTCATGTGCATTCATTCTATATTGAGTTGCACAATTCGACCCCTCGGCCATCATGCATCGAGATGCGTGATTGGTGGCACGAGGATCGAGGCATGCATACATTTGCGAAAATACATTGCTATGCCCCTTTTCTGCTCTCTGTTGCAGTAAATCAAAGAATTAGCAACCTTCCGGAGCTTGGCGCGTTTTCCAAGAATAAGTGTAAAACAGAGGCTAATTGGGGCATCCCAGTGGATTTCCGCGCAAGGCAGCCCAGACATGCATCATCCATCATCTGAAGAAGAGTCAAGGCAGTCCCTGGCTTGCATGCCAGTTTATCTTTTTTCTTAGTTAATTTGTAAATTAATTAGGAATTTGTATTATTTGGACTGTACTATTTATTCGGACCCTCTGCGCGAGGGCATAACTGTAATAAGTGTGCGTGCGTGTGATGTATGTCTTCCAACCCCACGTCTTTCTTCCCTTTTATTTACCTGCTTATGGTGGTTAGACTAGGGCATGTTTAAATTAGCATACAGTATGATAGCATGTTTGCATTCATTCATCTGTTTTGCATGCACCGGGCTCGGTGCATCATACTAACTGCATTTGTATTTCAATTTCAAAGTTGAATACTTGTTAGCTGTTGCATCTCATATGCCATGTTTAGAATAGCTGAGCCTGCTATAGTTGCATTTTGCATGTGTTGCATTAGGCATTTCTGTATAATTAGGATCATGCATAGATTTCTTATCAGTTTCTTTTTTGGCTTGGAGTACTCGGTGAGTTTTATGCTTTAGCATCCTTGCATGCGTGTGAGTGACTGCCATGAATAGCATGCTTACCATGAGGCTATGTGCTTATGTGATATAACTGCCTGAATGCCTGTGGGTGAATGTTAGGTTGTTTGGATTGGAACAAATCATCAACTGTGAGTTTTAAGCCCACTAGATAGTGGCAAAATCATGTTTTCTAAGCCCACCTGAGGGTGGCAAAATCTGCATTTTAAGCCTACTTGCGAGTAGCAAACCATCTTTCAAAAACAAACATGAAATGTTTTGTTCCAATTCAGGCGATCCAGTCTATACTTGTATGCTGTGCGCATCACATAGTAATCTAGGCTAATAACCAAAATAAGAACACATAATGTTTTCAAAAATAGATATCATGGTTAGTAGAGGCCGATCTTTGATCGGGCGAGCGGGGGTGCTCACGAAGTGACCTTCCCCAATCGTACCCAAGTTCCCAAGCCGAGGCAACTTTGGTGATGACGGACACGTGGCCTTAGGCAAACGAGTCAGGGTTTCCTAAATTTCCCCCAAAATAAAATATTTAGGTGGCGACTCTGTATCTGGCAAAGAAGTCCATGTTTGGCACTTCTTTTCTAAAAATCTGTTTTCTCAAAACGATTTTCCGGATTTGGACTTTTTGGTTCAGACTTAGAACCATGACAAATTTGAGAGTCCTGAGCTGTAGTGACCCCAAATGAACAGAACGGGAGCTCACCCTCCCAGGGCGTTCGGGGACGTCTACACCAGCCAGAAGAGCAAAGTTTTTCCTTATTAACCAAGAATGACGGATTATATCCCTGTGCTTCGTCTGGATGAAGAGTTTCTCGCACTATCTTCGCTGGCATGGAAGACGTGTACCACACCACAAGCAAGTTGTCTTCCAGACTGCGTTGGTGATCAATGGGTACATAGGGGTAAACCACTGAGCTCCGAGCAGAAGGAGGAACAAAAAGGGAATCATCGAATTCAACAAATCGATGATGAATCTGCTCCCTTAATTGGGGTTCATTAGGTTTTGACCAACTTTCCAAGCTAGTGGACTTGGAGGAAGAAGAAGCGGTTTTGTCCCATGCGGAGAGTAGT